AAGTAAGAAAGCCAACTTTAAGAGGTAATGATAACATCGTTTACACTAGAATTATGCTTTTTTTTATTACTTCTAGATATTAATAATACTTATAAAAGCAGACACTCCATTTGAAATTATGTCACCTCAGTGAAATTGGTTGACACCATTATTTTGGTTTTTCAGTTATATGTAATAAAAAAGAAACAGAAGAAAGAACAACAAGAAATTCAAACTTTTTTACTATGATATTACCAGAACTTGTAACTCCGTCATTATATAGATATTGTTATAAAAGGGAACATTGTATAGTATCATAAAGTTCCGATGACCTATTGAAGAGATATTTAAAATACCATTTTGATGAACAATCCAAGCCATCTCTGCATTGGCAGTACTATTGTCTGCCTGATACTCAAAATGTGCATAAGTGTGCATACAGATAATGATTTTTTTGTACCTACTGAACTATATGAATAAGTATTGAATAATACATGGAAATTGCACTACAAAGTTTCATTCACCCTAACCAAACTACTCAATGGTATTAACTTTTATTTCTATCTTCCTTCCAATATGAAACAAGTAATTTTATAGTTTTATTTGTAAATTATTAATAAGTTGATGATAAGAACTTATTGTTATTTCAGTTGTTGGTTATAATAGGAATATGAGTAATCAGAGGACTTTGCCGACTAAGTTTGCTAGCGCCAATTAAGTTATATGTGTATACAATAAAACACACACATACACATACAGAAGTCAGACAAAAAGTTAAATCACTGGTCTAAGATAGGTTTATATGTCATTCTGCCAACAAGATCCTTATGAAAATCACCAATTCAGTTTGGCAATTATGATGGAATATTTCAACAGGAATGTTAAACCATTCCTAAATAACAGTAGCCTTCGATTTCTTTAAGGGAATTGGAGGAAAATGATGTTAAATTTAAGTTTCCAGAATATTTCATAAAGGTTTAGTGCAGGACCATTGGGTTTGTCCATGGGTCTGCAAGGAAGGATTGGTATAAGAGCCTTCTCTCTCAATCAATTTTCTCCTGCTTTCTCTATGGTTCTCTTCAGAGCAGTTGGTTGTGGGGAAAATTCCATGGCCTCCCCACCTTCTCACTGGGCCTGGTTTAGTTGGATAAAAATCTGATAATTGGGCAAGATATGATAGATAACTGGTGAACCTGACTACAGCTTGTAGCCACTGCGCCTGTGGATACTCAGTGTAAGGAATGGCTTGATTATAAATAACTGAATTCTTGCTGTAAAGGTTTCTTATTTTCAAAATTAAACTTTGAACACATTTTTAGTTAGTGTTGTTTTTCTGTTGCATTTCACAATTTGGATTAATATACCAAAGTATTCATCACATATGATGGTCTTTCTGCTACTGCTGCTTTAAATATTTACCAGATAGAGTCCATGTTGCCAAAACATTAGAGACTTTTGTTCTTGATGCACCAGTAATCTGTGTGGTTTTGTTACAGGTGCACCTACTGTCATTCTTCTTATAAAATCTTTGAGATCTGTCTGAAGGACATGACGTATGGTCCTGAACCACAGCAGAAATGTCTAGTCTTATATACTCACACACTAGAAAAATTAAGTTGAGTATGATTTTAATAATGAATGAGGCAGTATCTTCCTTTACAGAGAGGAATTCAGATGCCTATTGGAACTGGAAGTTATATTTCTTTCTTTGTTTTACTCATATGTATACACATATATGTATTTATAGATATACAATTTGTGTTGGTACTTACTCTGTGCATCTCAGTTGTTAGTATAGGGTAAACAATAATGTCACTGAAAAAAACACACCTCAGCTTTTTAGCATATATTAACAAATACATATTATTTGTCAATGTAAACTAAGTTAGTACTGAAGAAATACACCTTAGCCATATAGTAATTTAGATGTAGTAATAACAAAGAAATACATTTTAGTTTATAATGTGCAACAACCCTCTAAGATACAAATAACATCATACAACAGCAGTACTTAGACTTTTGACATTTTCTCAGTTCAACTCACTTTGAAAATTTCAACCACTCCATAACATACTCTTTCACTTTCCAGTTTCAGTGTTTTACAAATACTTAATGCCAGTGTTGAAAGCTCTTCGCTACTTCTGCCTTGAGCCATCAAGTGATGCAACATAGAAACCCCAAACTTACAGACAAAACAAGCTGCAGGAGAAGTTTTCCCAAGTTTGATACTGTCCATTACCTTTATGGGAAAAACAGAATAGTGAAGAATAAAAAAGTTCAAATCAGTTAAAATGTTTACAATATAAGAAAAGTTAAACAAAAAATATACCAACACTGCATAAGTATTTATTCATGTTATTGCATATGACTTACAATATGTTATAGACATATACATATGCTCTTTCTCTCATTCTCCTTACTGGAAAAGAAACAACCAGAAAATATGTTTTCTTTGT